CTATGTTTTACACCATTCCCTAAAATTAAATCAAGATAGATTAAAACCTAACAGAAGTTCTGAAACTATAGAACTACTAGAAGAAAACATGGGAAAATTCTCCCAGATGTGGATCTTGGCAATGATTTTTTTGGATATGCCAAGAGGGCACAAACAACAAAATAAAAATTAAGCAGGTGGGAGGACAATCAAATAAGCTCCTGCACAGCTAAAGAAATCATCAACCAAGTGAGACGACAGCCTACATGATTGGAAAAGTGTACTTGCAAACCATATATCTGATGAAAGGCTAATATTCAAACTATGTAAAGAACCCATATAAACTTAACAGTAAAAAATAAAATAACTTAATTAAAAAATGGGCAAAGGACCTGAACATTCCTCCAGAGAAGATACATGAAAGACCAGCAGGTACATGAAAAGTGTTCATCATCACTAGTTGTTAAGGAAATTCAAATTAAAGCCACTGAAAGGTTGTTGCTGAACCATGAAAGACCCGGGATTCTTGCCCTCCACAGGAGAAGAATGCAATCCAGGGCCAGAGACGAGGCCTGATCACTCAGAGCTTTTGTGTAATAGAGTTTTATTAGAATATAAAAGAGATAGAGAAGGCTTCTGACATAGACATCAGAGGGGGGTAGAAAGAGTGCCTCCTCACTAGTGTTATCAACGGAGTTATATACCTTTTAATTAGTTACTACAGTGAATGAAAAGAATGTCTGGAGGTTGTAAAGATCTTACTAGACCCACTCCCATAATTTACACTCTAAGATAACAGGATTAGCCAGAAGGTTTTTTCCAGAAACTGTCCTCAAGCAAGATACATTATTGTTGTATAATCCTAAGGAATGTAGAGAGAAAAAAAAAAAAGTTTGTCCTTTCTTCCTCCTTGAGAATTCCAGACCCCTCTCTCCTTGGGGACCCCTGGACTTCTTGTCAACCTGCCTAGGAATTGACTTTCTCACCACAAAGCGATATCAGCTCACACCTGTTAGAACCACCATCACCATAAAGAGAAGACATGGCAAATACCAGCAAGAACATGAGGAAATGGGAACCTCCATGTGCTGTTGGTTGGAAACTGGTGCAGCCACCATGGAAAGCTGAGCAGCTTTCTCATAAAATCATGAATGGAGCTGCCGTCTGGTCCTGCGATTCCACTGCTGGTGTTTATGCAAAGAAAGTGAAAACACTGACTTAGAAAGATATCTGCACCCTCAGGTTCATAGCAGCATTATTTGCAATAGTCAAGATGTGGAAACAACATAAGTTTTTATCAACAGATAAATGAATGAAGTTGTGGTATATACACATATATATTTTTTTCATATATGTATATTCCATATATATATACATATATGGAGAAGGGAATGGCAACCCACTCCAGTATTCTTGCCTGGATAATTCCATGGACAGGAGCCTGGCGGGCTACAGGCCAAGGGTCACAAAGAGTCGGACATGCTGAGTGACTGTGCACACACAGTATACATATATATATACACATTTATATAATATATATACAATTAATATAATATCATACACAACAAGAAAGACAAGGCGATCCTATGATTTGTGATGACGTGGATGGACCTTGCCCTCAATTATACTAAGTGAAGTCAGCAGGGAGAGGAAATACTGTATGAACTCACTTATAGTGGGAATCTTTTTTAAAAAATTTAAAAACAAACTCATGAAAAAGAGATCAGACTTGTGGTTACCAGAGGCAGAGGGTGGAGGGGGGAAAGACTGGAGAAAGTGGTCCCAAAGTGCAAACTTCCATTTGCAAGATAAGTAAGTACTAGTGAAGTAACGTACTACGTGATGACTCTAGTTTGCACTGCTATTTGATACAAAGCAGTGCCCGTGATGACTCTAGTTTGCACTGCTATTTGATACAAAGCAGTGTTATAAGAGAATGAATCCTAGGAGTTCTCAACATGAGGAAACCTTTTTTTTCTTTCTCTTTTCTTATTGTATCCGTATGAGAGGATGGGTGTCAGATGAACCTATTGTGACCACAATTTCACAACAGATGTAACTCAGACTGTACACCATAAGCTTATACAGTGATGTACGTCTATTATTTCCTGAAAAAACTGGAGGGGAAAAAAGAAACATTTTTATCTTGCTAGAGAGCAAGGTTGATTGCAAACCGGCTGTTTCATTTAAAAAATCCCTCTTAAGACAAAGGGGAAACACCAAGAGGGAGACTGAAACAGCAAGCCTGGCAAAGCATGATGTCCGCGATTGACTCCTGATTAGAACAGGACAGTTAGAGGGGCGGGGTGGAGCAGACCAGAGGCAGACCCCCGACACGCCTCCGCACGGACTCACAGCTCCTCGGGAGACCCTGGCTGACAGTGAAGTGGCTGGATCGGCAGCTACTGGGAGGTGCATATGGAGCCAGTTAGAAAGTCAGGAAGGTCGTTCTGGTGACTTTGAACAGCGAGTAGCAGAAGGAAACCCTCGGAGGGGCTTCTGACAGCAAAATGTAAGTCTTCCATGGGTAGAGACAGATCAGAATTCAAGTGAGCTAGAGTGCTGCTGAAGAATAAAAAGGGTGTCAGATAACTGGTGGTACATTGGTGTGAAAAGCCCATGTCGTGCGAGGTGTGGCATTTCCAAGGACTGTTACTGGAGTGTAGTCACTCACAGGGTCATGCTCACTTCCACCGCACAGTGAAGTGATTCAGCTCTGTTGCTGTTTGGTTGCCAAGTCATCCGACTCTTTGCAACCTCATGGACTGCAGTGCGCCAGGCTTCCCTGTCCTTCGCTGTGTTCCAAAGTTTGGTAAACCCACATTCACTGAGTCAGTGATGCCATCCAAGCATCTCATGCTCTGTCAACCCCTTCTCCTCCTGCCTTCAATCTTTCCCAGCCTCAGTCTTTCCCAGTGAGTCAGCTCTTCCCATCAGGTGGCCCAAGTATTGGAGCTTCAGCTTCAGCATCAGTCCTTCCAATGAATATTCAGAACTGATTTCCTTTAGGATGGACTGGTTTGATCTCCTTGCAGCCCCTTAGACTCTCAAGAGTCCTTGCCAGCACCACAGTTCAAAAGCATCAATTCTTTGGCACTCAGGCTTTTTTATGGTCCAAATCTCACATCCGTACATGACTACTGGAAAATCAGCTATTACATATAGCCCCTCTTTGGGGAATCTCCTTCCAATTTAGGTCACCGTAGAGCATTGCGTAGAGGTCCCTAAGCTGTACGATAGGTTCTCATTAGTCATCTATTTCATACACAGTGTCTCTAGCGTATACGTGTGACATTTCTTGGCATATTGTCCCCTCTGTATCCTCACTGAAAGTTGGCATGTCATCTTAGCCGGTTAACATTCACTGGTGATCTGTGTCAAGGCTACGCCAAGGGCTTTCCCAGTGATTAGCTTCTTGAACTTTTGCAGCCCTCCTTTTTCAAGAGGAAGCCGAGGTTTGAAGAATCAGTGATCCATCTGAGATGGTCCGGCTAGGAACTTACAGGATTAGGGTTAGATCCTCAGATCTTGTTGATTTCTGTGGTTACCATCCCTTTTCCTAGACCGTGCTGCTCTCATGTCTTTGTAAGTGTGATAATTTATGTTCAGTCAATCCCCAGAACTGTCATTTTCTGCAAAATGTTATTTCCATAGGAATAAGTTAAGCTGCAAGGAGAACTTTATCACACCATTCATATGGTATGGCTTGCTTCCCTGAACTGGGTCACCACCCTGGGTAACAATTACCTACACTGTAAGGTTTGCCTTATTAATCTGAACTAGATAAAAATAACTGGCTTCACAGAGCTTTCGAAACAGTCTTCAAACTCCAAGATTTACTAATAATTGAATAGAGTGACTCACAATTGGAAAGGCAAGTGATTTTGCTTGCTTATTGGCTGTGAGATATGAGATAAGCTGTTTAGACTGACCCTGTCCCGTACGATCACACTGGTCACATGTAGCCATTTAAATTTCTATTTTTAATCTATTAAAATGAAATGCAACTATGGGTTCACTTCCTCAGTTGCAATAACTATGTGGCTTTTGAGCATGTAAAACATGGCTAGTGCCACTGATGAAGTGCATTCCAGAGGCAGAGGGTGGAGGAAGGAAATGAAAACACTAACTTAGAAAGAATCTGCACCCTCAGGTTCATAGCAGCATTATTTACAATAGCCAGGATGTGGAAACAACATAAGTTTTTATCAACAGATAAATGAATGAAGTTGTGGCATATATACATATATATGTGTATATATATATATATCATATATGTATATTCCATATATATACATATAGGGAGAGGGAAATTTTTAATCTTAATTGATTAAAATAGAAATTTAAATGGCTAATATATTGGATGGTGCAGAAAGTTCTTTTGGACAGCACTGCTCTAAATCTGAAATTCAAACCCCTCAAAGTCTTCTGATGCTGTTTCCTGTCTGGTAATGGGTCTAAGATCTAATAATAATTATCATCACACCATAAGATAGCGTGTAAAAGGCTTTGCAAACTATAAAGTGTTACATAAATTCTGTTACCTTATTGCAGTGTCATAAAATCATCTAGTCTTTGACATACTAATACTTTGGCCCTTGGGTCTTACAATCATGTCAGCTCTTTTTCAGAAGTTGAATTATGGATCTTGAAGCTGACGTGTATGCTTTGTTCTTTAAGATATACACACATATCTAATTATGTAATGTAGGCAATTATACCATGTAATACGAACATCGTCACTTTCCCACATGGACCATATCTATTGGAAATTAACAGAAAAAAGTTCCGGTCCACGAAAGCTGCTGAGTTCTAAGTGTTGCCTGGTGAGAAAGTGATGGCTGCGGGTTGCAGAAGAGGTGAATGAATAACAGTGTCAGGGCGCCTCATGGTGTTGGTGGTTATCAAGCTCATTAACTCTCAGCAGCCCCGGTGACTAACGCACGTCTCACTTGGACTCCGGGACAGGATGTGACTTCTGGGTACCGCTGCCCTCCCTGAGCCCGTCTGGTGTCTTTCAGGGACCTGCGGAGCCTCTCGGGCGTGAAGCTTTCGGCTGGCGCCATGGAGAGGAACCTGAGGAACGTCCTCGTACTCTCCTTGGGGTTTCTGCTGCTCTTCACTGCCTACGGAGGGCTGCAGAGTCTGCAGGTAGGTGTGCGACGGCCGTCTGACCTCACTTCCGGGCTGCCTCCGGGACACCAAGATTACCCGTGCCGCAGACGGCGAGGAACGTGGGGTCTGTCCAGGTCACCCTCCCCAGTCCTCTACACAGACATGGCTCCACACGCAGCCCCCGCTCCCAGTTCAGCGGGATTGCACAACTGCTGGTGTCTGACCCTTGGTCGAGGAGAGCTGGACTTGGGTCAGTGGTTTGATAAAGTCCACCTTGCCTTTTGTGGGTGAGAGGAGACACACGACTAATCACTGTGAATCTGTGGTCGGGGCGGTAATGCGAATGCGTCAGAGGTCCGCATGGACTCCTGCTTGATCTGCCCCGGGTAGTTCCACTTCATGTCTGACCTTTCACCATGAATGAAGCCTCGAGGAACCCCCAGGGGTGGGCAGGAAGGAGCCGGTCTTCAGGCCCCTGGTGCCACCTTCACCAGCTCTGTGCCTTGGGCGCTGCCCCTCCGTGAAGCATTTGTAAGGTTTCTGACGACATGTAGTGTGGTCCCGCAAGGTGTGTCAGTCAGGCTCCTACTGAGCGCACGGTATTGAACCAGAATAGCACGCAGAAGGGGCTCAGAATCGGAGGGTCAAGACAGGAGTAGAGATTCAGACCTTCTGTTCTCATTGTCACAGTGCAAACTCTGGACTTGTGGTTGATGAGGAAGCTCAAATTCAGCCCTGAACCCCAAGTTCATGTTTTCCTCAATGAACCCCGATCTGGTCTCTTTCTGATTAAGCTCTCAGAGAATGAACTTTCAGCCCAGGGGGATGCCCAGAGTCAACTGAAGGGGAAGCACAGTCCCTTTCTGGCCAGGATCCTCCATGACTTTGTAGACACTGGTCAGCGCTCTGGGATGTAAAGTCCTAGCATGTGTGAAGCACCTGCGTTTTGGGGCTGCACTGAGCTCGTGTTGAACGTGGTGAGTGGCGTCCGGAAGGAGAGCTGAGGGAGGGCGCGGACCCATCGGTGCCACCGTCCACACAGGAGGAAGTCGCCCTGGCGTGGGCTGGTGGGGTCAGAATTCTCAGGGAGCAGTTGTGATCTGACAGCAGATCGGCCCCTGGACCGAGAAGCCAGCCAGGGAGGGGCCACCTTAGGATCTGCCCAGACTCGCAGCTCTCGGGACCGTGGACCTCGAGGGTATACACGATCTGAGGGCCTGCCTAGGAGCCTGTCGGAGCAGCCTCTGTGTGCGGAGAGCGTGCAGGTGAGCGGAGGCCGTGCCAGCCTGCACCTCTTCCCCAGGGCGCCTGCTGGGGGCCCGCTGTCACTGGCATGGCCTCCTCCTCCTCAGAAGACCAGTGATCTTGGAGAACCAGACCTCCAACCTGTCATGGGAGGAGCCCACCTACCCCTCACCCCTCTCTGTCCCTGCTAATTGGGCCATATCTCCTCGCCCACTGATCCAGAGCATGTTGTGTCTGAATGCTTGCAGCCGGAACTGGCTTCAGAAACAATATGTAAGGACAGCATGGATGTGGCCTTCAGGGTGGCTGGATCCCACGTTGGAGGGATCTGCCTGCCTCCATCACTTCCTTCTGCTTTCATCTGCTTGGCGTCATTCTCGGGCCCCAGAGAGGTAGCAAAGGTGGCCGCGAGCATGCCCAGCGTCCCAGCCCTGGTCTGGGTGTGGTCGTGCACTTGCCGGGGACCCAGACACACATCTCCGCTGCCTCCCGCATGAGCCGCCAGCCTCCTGTTTATCGTTCTGGTCGCAGTGTGCCTGTCGCATTTTTCCTGCTCCATCCCCGTGCCCGGGGTCTCACGTCTGTGTGGTGTGCACCTGGGGTCCTGTGGTTCACACCACATGGTGTGTGAATTCCACGAGGCCGGTCCCCACCCCCCAACGGCACCGCTGTGTCCCTGCCTCAGACAGCGCTTGACACGCTTGATGGCCATTTGGTGAGTGAAGCCATTGATATGTGCTCATCTCCTGCTTAAGCCCCTCTGGGGCTCTCCACGGGCTTACAGATCCGCTCCAGGTCCCCAGGACGGGGTCCGGGTCTCCCCAGGTCTACTCTTGCAGCCGCATCTCCCTGGAAGAGAGCTTAGTGGCTCTGGCTGAAGCATCTGACTGTTCTGGGGTCTCCCCTCTCAGGATGGGGCCTCTGTAACCCACGCCCTAAACATCCCCCCCCTCACCTACACCTCCTGACATTTCCCTGGTCACCTCCACATCCTGCAGGTCTCACGCCTTCCAGAGAGTCTTCTGACACGAGAAGGCCTAGCCTTCGCGTCCTCCTAGGAGGTTGGCCCCCGAGTCTTCCCCGCAGGGCTCACTGTCCCCTGCGGTAGCCTGTGGGCAGCATCACTGACACCTGATATCCGTGCAGGTGTTGTCTTTTTCTTGAACATCCCTGGAGCCTCACATCAGCCGCTACTGGTCCACGCTTGTGACCGATCGACCTGCAGATCGAGTTGAGTGACCAGCCTCGCTGTTGAGTACAGGTCACTCCCATGGGCTTTTTCTTGGGCAGGTATTTTGCAAATTGGTTCTCCTCACATTTGCAAAGACAGGCCTTTGAACACGGTCACTGGTGTAAGAAAGAGGCATTTGCTTTTGAAAGTCGTTTCCCGTGTTGGAGGTTGAGATCCACCTTCTTTCCCAGTGGTGGGTAGTGAAGCGCTATGGTCAGTAACAGACGTACCTGCTGGTTGGCTGTGGGGCTGTGGGCCAAGGGCATTCTGGCGCAGAGCCCCGATGCCAGCCTCTCATTAGCACATGAAGGGGAAAGCTCACGAGTCAGGAGGCGTCAGGCTCGAGTATTAAGCGAGTAAGGGGCCCTGGCCAAGCCCGTTCTCTTGCTCCATGCTCCAGGAGACTAGTTACGAGCAGAAATTTCCAGGTAACCCCCACTTCAGAGCAGACTATTCAACTTCTGACTTCCAACCAGATTTTAGAATTTTCATGGGTCCAGTTCTTGTTTTCAGTGCCAGTTAATCAGCCAACACGATTAAGTACCTATTTGGGGCAAGGCACTCGGGGAGATTCAGAAAAAGCACACCTCCCTGAACTCAAGACCCTTGGAGACCCTTGACCTGTGCTTGAAGAAAGGGCACCATCTGGACAGAGGAGGATGGTCAGAGGGCGGGGCGTCTGCGCGGAGGAAAGAGCCAGTCCTGGAGTGAGCTCGGCGGGCAGGCCTGCCGCCTGTGGGTGGAGTCCCCTGCGGTCTCTCTCGCAGGTGGGGGGGGACCTAGTAGGAAGGAAGGTGAACGGTGCTGGTGTTTACGTCGGGGTTTGGTGTCGTCTGGACTAGCTAGCTGGGTGTGTGACTGGACACGGTGCGCGGCTTTCCCGAGGGGGCAGGGCCCCCATCCCAGCCGGAAGGAGAAGGAACGCGGGAGCTCTCAGTTCAGTGTCTGCCTGCTGCCGACACTCAGGCCGTGGTGGTTTCCTGAGTCTGGGGCGTGGCTTCTGCAGGGGAGGGACCCTGTGGGGGTCATGTTTCTCCCCTGGTGTCTGGTCAGTGGCCTGGAGGCCAGCCGGCATCCCTCCATGAATGACCGCAGGGCCGGGCTGAGCAGGACGTGGAGGCGAAGGAAACAATCTTTCATGCTGCTCCTGCCTCCTCCCCTCATCCCCTCCTTTCCTTCTACATGTGAAACAAATGGAAGAAACAATCAGACTGGTTCTTCTTTCACAGCAAAAACCAAACGTCACCCCGGCATGGCCTTTGCCAAGCGGGTCTGGTACCTATCCGACCTTTAGGCCCCTTCACACTAAGCTACGCTAAGCACTCAAGTTAAAAACGACAGCACTAGGAGAAGCGTGCGCTTGTGTTTGCACACCTTCAGACCGGGGCTCCTTGCTCAGCCAGAATGCTCATCTCCCGAGGAGCCTGGGGACCCCAGGGCTCCCGGCTGCCTGGATGCCCTCTCCCCTCTCCCGACAGGGGGGCAGGTGCTGGAAAAGTCTGAGCTGCCCCGTGGTCTCTGAGCTGCCAGGGGCCCTGGGCTGCCCATCCCTGGGCTCCAGAGTTGCTGACTCAGCTTGATCCGAGTCCACTGCCATCTCGTCTGCCCGTCCCTCCCTCGGCTGGAGGAGAGGAAGCCTGCCGCTGGGCCTCGGGGGCAGGAGGCGGCCCGGAGCGCCTGGCCCCGGCCTCTGACGGCCCGTCGTGTCCCCGCAGAGCAGCCTGTACAGTGAGGAGGGCCTGGGCGTGGCGGCGCTCAGCACGCTCTACGGCGGCATGCTGCTGTCCTCCATGTTCCTGCCGCCCGTCCTCATCGGGAAGCTCGGCTGCAAGTGGACCCTCGTGCTCGCCATGTGCTGCTACGTGGCCTTCTCTCTCGGCAACTTCTACGCCAGCTGGTACGCCCGCTCCCAGCGGCTGCTGCACCCCGCCCTGCGCCCAGGGCGAGCCGTGACTGCATCCCCTGCTTTCCCGCCAAGATGCCCCGACCCCCAACCTGACCTCTCCACGAGCCCCCCAGCTTCCCTTCTGGGCCAGGGAGGGCACGTTCACGGCCCCAGCAGCAAGGGGAGAAGCTGCCTAAGCTGTGGGGGGTGAATTTCAGGGAGACCGAGCAGAATGTGACCTGGGCCAAACCTCACCCGCTCAGCCCTTCACAAAGGGTGCATGCGGCAGGGCTGGAGCCGGTGTCCCAGGCTGCACCTGAGCTCTGCCTGCTCCGGGATGGACAGGGACCCTCAAGGGACCCTTGCTCCCAGGGGCACGCCGCTCAAGCGTCTCCCGGAGGGACACCCTTTGTCATCCAGGATGTACTGATGTGCTGCAGTGTCTGACTCTTTGATACCCCGTGGGCTGTAGCCCACCAGGCTCCTCTGTCCATGGGGTTCTCCAGGCAAGAACACTGCCGTGGGTGGTCATTGCCTACTCCAGGGGGTCTTCCTGGCCCAGGGATGGATCCCACATCTCCTGCCCTGCAGGTAGGGTCTTTACCCTGAGCCACCAGGGAAGCCCAGTGCTATGGTGGATTCACGTTATTCTTTCTCTTGTTACCAGACAGGGTCCTCCTACAGAGAGCGATAGACAGGGAGGTGGGTGCATACATAGATAATAAGTCAGGTTTAATCTTCTGCCATTAGAAATATCTAGAACCCTCCCAGTCTTATCTATTGTCCCAGCTCACTGTAGCTGCATCCAAGCACAAAAACAGTACTGACACCAAATTTCACTCTTGCAAATGACCCTGAACCAGCAAAGTGTCTGATTTTCTCATTCATCTGAGTCTGAGGGTGACTCAGTCAAGCTGGCCAACCCAACAACACAGTAACCTTCCCTGGGCCAGGCCGGGAGCTAGGGAGGGAGGAAGGGGCCAAGGCAGCCCACGTCCACTTTTGTCTCTCAGGTACACTTTGATCCCCACCTCCATCCTGGTGGGACTCGGGGCCACCACGCTGTGGTCTGCACAGGGCACCTACCTCACCATCGTGGGGAACATGCAGGCGCAGAAGACAGGACAAGTCGGCAAAGACGTGGTCAACCAGTACTTCGGCATCTTCTTTCTCATATTCCAGTCGTCCGGCGTGTGGGGCAACCTGATCTCATCTCTCGTGTTCGGCCAGACGCCCACTCAAGGTAACAGGAAGTGGGGGCCACCCAGGGTCCCTGGTCCCTCCCCTCATGTCCTCATTCAGGACATGAGCGGGTGGTCACATGGGGCCCCCAGACCTGGTTCTCAGACTGCATGGACCCCAGCTCCTCCCAGGACAGTCTGGTTGGGTCTGAGGGCCCACCTAATCCCTGGGTGCCTTGGCCGCCAGTCCTTAGGGAGAGGTGTCCTGGGGAGACTGAGGGCCACTACCTGTGGAACGCGAGTTCATGGAGTCCTTCAGTTCAGTTCAGTTCAGTTCAGTTCAGTCACTCAGTCCTGTCCGACTCTTTGCAACCCCATGGACTGCAGCATGCTAGGCCTCCTTGTCCATTGCCAACTCCCAGAGCTTACTCAAACTCATGTCCATTGAGTCAGTGATGCCATCCAACCATCTCATCCTCCGTCATCCCCTTCTCCTGCCTTCAGTCTTTCCCAGCATCAGGGTCTTTTCAAATGAGTCATTTCTTCAAAACAGGTGGCCAACATATTGGAGTTTCAGCTTCAGCATCAGTCCTTCCAATGAATATTCAGGACTGATTTCCTCTAGGATGGACTAGTTGGATCTCCTTGCAGTCCAAGGGACTCTCAAGAGTCTTCTCCAACACCACAGTTCAAAAGCATCAATTCTTCAGTGCTCAGCTTTCTTTACAGTCCAAGTCTCACATCCATACACATCCACGGAGTCCTTACTATCCTTCTAGACTAAGAATGGTTTCCAGGAATTTATTTTCCCACTGAATCAACCCATTCACCAGTATTTTCAATATTACACAAAAGGCCACTATCCCCAACAGATTTGAACATTTGATGACCAGGGTCTTAACTTTTTTCTCTACCCAGCCTCACTCAGACAGGGTTACAGAGTGTGTGTCTGTTTTATGCCTGCACACTTTGCTACCTGAAGACTTCAACCAAGGGAAGAGGAAATGCATGTCTTCAGTTCTCACAGGAAGCTTTATTAATGGGGAAGAAGTGCTAACTCTCCCGTTATCAGGAATATTTCTCTCTGCCTTGGTCCTCTGTATTGCTTATCTACTCAAGAAATAAGAACCTTTCCTCCCTTTTTGCTCACATGATGTCATCCTTGCTGAGTACATCTGCAGAGGGAAATCACAGGGTTGATAGACACCAATCATTACTTGGTATTGTCCAAACCATCAGCAATCAACCAACCGAAGCTGGGGTGAAAGTTCAGGCTCTGACATCACTGGTGTGGAGGCGTGAACAGGTTCACTTTTAAAGGCATACAGACAAGTAAGCTTAACCTCTCCCTGGTCACTGGACACAGAATTTGAGGGCTGGAAGGCACGTTGGGAGCCTTGCAAGGCGTCTCCACCTTTCTGTGCCCCCAGCCTCCACACCGCCGCCTTGTCCATGGGCTGGACACCTCCCCAGTCACAGGGATCCTGCGGCATCTCATACGCTGAGCTCACTATTATGGGAACGATGGAACACCGAGGACGCTTGTCTGTGACATGTGTCCCCTTTCTTCAGAGATTCGATGTGGGTCTACTGAGAGTCACTGATCGCTCACATGTCTCTCTTTTTATGGCTAAGAAAGCAACATTCAGAGACAATATGAATGAACCCACCCACGGTGACGGGTCTCTTTACAGATGAGTCTGAGAACCCAGTGGGCCTGACACCTGGTCTAACGTACCCTATTTATCATTCTGAAAAGTGGAAAACTTTCGATGAAGTTAGCAACGCAATATAACCATAAGCCAGCATTTATTCCACACGAGTCCGGAGTGTCTTAAAATCAAGCATATAGATGTTTCCGAGGAGAGACGTGGCTGAGACACTGGGCGGAACAGCCCCCATGGTTGGCTCTGACCCGTGGGGGGTCTCATGCTCCACATGGCCACACTCCTCTCCTCGGTGCATCCTTCTGTGTGTCCCCTCTCCTGTCACAAGTACGCCATGCCCTCAGTCCGCCTCTCTGCTTCCGCAGGGACCGTCCCGGAGGAGCAGCTGCAGACCTGCGGGGCCAGCGACTGCCTGATGGCCGTGGCGTCCACCAACAGCACAAGGCGGCCCTCCCAGGACCTCATCTACACGCTCATGGGCATCTACACAGGTACGTGCCGGCCCCAGGAACCCGGGCAAAGCAAGACGAATGCCTTCCCGGGCCAAAAGGACCGCCTTCTCAGGGCACGGATGATCTGAGCTTATCTGCACACACCCCTCAGAATGCGTTCAGCTGCGGGTGCCTGGGGCTTTTCCCACATGAAACCCAGGGCAGCAGCCTCTGCTGTTGGAGGTCTTGCGTGATGATGGAAACAGCCCCGCGTCTGCACCGTCCAGCCCCACGGTCATCACATGTGCTTATTGAAATTCTAATTAATGAAAGTAAGATGACTCTTCCGAGGTCACAGCCGCACGGTCCACGTGCTCATGGCCACTCGGGGCTGCGGCCGCCTTGTTGGCGGCACCGAGGGGCCCGCGGCCTCGGTGCATCGAATCCTTGTGGGGCTTCCCTGGTGGCTTAGATGGCAATGAACCCGCCTGCAATGTGGGAGACCGAGGCCCAATCCCTGGGCCAGGAAGATCCCCTGGAGGAGGGCATGGCAAGCCTCTCCAGTGTTCTTGCCTGGAGAATGCCGTGGACAGAGGAGCCTGGTGGGCTGCAGTCCAGGGGGTCGCACAGAGTCAGACAGGACAGAGTGAATGTCACATTTCACGTTTCAACTACATCTGGTTGGATCTGGAAGTCCCACATCTCGGGCTTATCACCTTCTTCTGAAGCATATACTTGAATGGCTTCTGAGAGGCTGGGGCTGGGCGGGCGTCTCCTACTGCCCACCCTTGGGTGTCTGTGCAGCCTCGTGGCTCCTACTGCTGGTCACAGGACAGCAGATGGTGCGGAACACTGGAAGTGTGTGAGGACATGGCTGCCCAAGGGGGTGAGTCCCTGTGACGGCGCTCATCCTTACTGTTCAGCCGCTCAGTCGTGTCAGACTCCTTGCGACCCCACAGGAAGCCAGGCTTCCCAGTCCTTCTTCATCTCCTGGAGTTTACTCAAACTCATGTCCATCGAGTCGGTGATGCCATCCAATCATCTCATCCTCTGTCGTCCCCTTCTCCGCCTGCCTTCAATCTTTCCCCGCATCAAGGTCTTTTCCAATGAGCCAGTTCTTTGCATCAGGTGGCCAAAGTATTGGAGCTTCAGCTTCAGCATCAGTCCTTCCAATGAACACCCAGGACTGATTTCCTTTAGGACAGACTGGTTTGATCTCTTATCCTTAAGATGCTTATTTGAATGAAAAATTTCTAAATGACTCCACTACTTTGGGCATACCTTTAGATTAGATTTTTGGTTTTTTGGTGTCCATTTGAAAAAAATTTAAGGATATTCTTTATCATTCTTGAATTCTGGAATCTGTGAAGGCCTTGAATTGTATCCTTAATGACCAGGAGTCTGATAAGAGTCAGATTTTATGGGGCTGAGTGCAGACGCCACTGGGAATCAAAGGTCGGGAGGCCGTGGGCGCAGTCAGCTTGTCCCCATGGAGAGATCAGCTACCACCAACACTCTGGTCTCTTTCAAAGTCACTTCCACATCAGAGGTGCCGAGGGGGCCCTTTACGCTGGCAAACCAGAGTGAGCACTAGAGCTGGGGCCCAGAAACCAGGCAGATGAGGTCCTGGCTGGCGGTGACCTTAGAGGCCAGATGTGCGTTCAACTAATCACAATTTGAGAGGATGAGTGTTTTGAACAAAGCTGTCATCTGACAAGTAGCGACATCTCCTTGGGAAGTTGGGCTCTAGGGCAGCTCTGATGGGGAGGTGGTGCCCAAGCGGGAACTGAAGGATGAGTAGGAATTTACCAGCAGAGGAGGAGAGATGAGTGGGCCCTGAAGGCAGAGAAGCCCCAGAGGCAGCCAGCGGGGCTGGAGGCCAGAAGGCGAGGTGGGGAGCCCGTGTGCGTGTGCGTGACCCCTGCAGCCCCGCACGGCAGCCTGTCCCCTCCCTGTCCTTTCAGGGTGCGGCTTCCTGGCGGTCCTGCTCACAGCCGTGTTTCTGGAACCCGTAAAAGATGCTGGGCCAGAAGGTGACAGCGAGAAGCGGGCGACTCCTTTCTGGTCCACTTTGCTGTCGACGTTTAAGCTGCTCAGAGACAAGCGCCTGCGTCTCCTGATCCTGCTGCCGATGCTCAGCGGGTTCGAGCAAGCCTTCCTGTCGGGTGACTACACACGGGTAAGAGAGGGGCTGGCTGGCGGGTGGCTCAGGGCTCCCTGGGGCTGCACTCCGCCCTTCCGGCCTCAGGGGAGCTGCCCGTGAGTCTGGACGTGAGCTCACCTGGCCTGGGACCTTCCCGGGGACACCTCTTGCTTGAGACGTGTCTCCAGGTAAAGGACCAAAGCTGCTCGGGAGTCATCGCAGTGACTCTGCCTGCATCTCACCCAGCATCCTTGTCTTAGAGTAGAGAATAGAGAAAGCACTGAAATCTACAAATAACACTGAAATTCCTTATTACCTAGCTTTTAAAGATTTTTTATTCTACATTAAAGTCTAGTTGATTTACAGTGTTGTGTTACCAGGTGTACAGCGGGGTGGTTCAGTTATACATCTGTATGTATACATTCTCTCTCAAATTCTTTTCCCATTTAGGTTATTACAGAATATTGAGCAGAGTTCCCTGTGCTATACAGTAGGTCCTTGTTGGTTATCCAGTTTAAATATAGCAGAGTGTACATGTTCACCCCAAACTCCCTGACTGTCCCTTCCCTCCATTCTTCCCCTGCTCATTACCATAAGTTAGTTCTCTAAGCCTCTGAGTTTGTTTCTGTTTTGTAAATGAGTTCATTTGCATCATTTATCATATGATATTTGTCTTTCTCTGGCCAGCTTTACATAGTATGATAATCTCTAGTCACATCCATGTTGCCACAAATGACATCATTCATCCTTTTACGGTTGAGTAGTATTCCATTGCACGTATGTACCGCATCTTTATCCACCCATCTGTGGATGGACGTCTCGGCTGCCTCCGTGTCTTTGCTACTGTAAACAGTGCTGCAATGAACGTTAGGGTGCGTGTATCCTCTGGGGCCATGCTCTTCTCTGAATATTTGCCCAGGAGTGGGATTGCAGGGTCATAAGGTAGCTCTATTTTTAGTTTCTTAAGAAGTCTCCACACTGTTTTGCATGAGAGCTGTACTAATTTATACTCCCTCTTACAGTGTAGAAGGATTCCCTTCTCTCCACACGCTCTCCAGCATTTATTGTTTGTAGACCTTTTGATGACGGCCATTCTGGCTGATGTGAGGGGGTACCTCGCAGTAGCTTTGATTTACGTTTCTCTAGTGATTAGCGATGGTGAGCATCTCTTCACGTGCCTCTTGCTCCTCTGTATGTCCTCTCTGGAGAAAGGGCTATTTGGGCCCTTACCTAGTTCTTGAATAATGAGTTACAGTCTAGAAACGGAGGTGGCTCAGCGCAGTTGATGCCCTTTCCCTGGCTGTCCACATGCCCCCTGCACTGTCTGCCCACTTTGTGCCTTCTTCAGGGGTCCTTGTTCAGGCGTGGCTGGAGAGGAGCCCGTGTCTGGCTGGCCACCTTTATCGAGGGTCTCTCCCGGAGCCCGTCTCCAGAGCCCCTGCCCAGGTGGGGTTCTGTCCTGGAGAGCCCTGTGGGGTGCCGTGGAAGGGATGTCACAGACAGGGACGGTAGAGAGAAGGTTTCTGCCCAGAAAGTGTGGGAGAGGAGCTGGGTGTTGGAGGGGCTGGAGACAGCCAGGGCCAAGGCTGGACCCTCCGGCCTATGTCGAGAGACCCGCCCCCGAGGACCACCACTCTTCCTCCAGGGAACTTCCACTCCAGCCCCCCCACGGCTCCTTCCCAGGAGGGGCTGCCAGACTGGCAGGGAAAAAGGCAGGGCACGGATTTGAGTTCCAGACAGACCGCAACCCCCCCTCGGTGTACGGCCCTGCATGCTCGGGCGCCCGGGGCTGCCCGTGGCCCGTGCTCTGAGGACTGCCTTGTTGGAGTCCTGGAGTTCCCAAGAACGACAGGGATGACGCACAGTCCCTGGGTCTGGACGCGGCCACTCCCCTCGGACTTGTCAGGGACCGCCGCCCGTGAGCTCGGGCAGGGCCTGCACCATCCGGGAGCCAGGGGCCTCCTGCTATGTCTGTCCTGATTCTGTGGGCGTGAGAGCCGCAGCCCTTGAGCCCTGGTCCCCGGGGGCCCCTCCACCCCCCACCTCCCGGGTCTGGGGCAGGAGGTCTCTCTGTTCTTCTCACCTCTGTGGAGATTCCCTCCCTGTTCCTTCCATCTTCTTTTTTATTAAGACCTTATTTTTGGAGCAGTTTTAGGTTCACAGTAAAACTGAGCAGAAATTAGAGATTTCCCGTACCCCCCCACCCCGACCCCACCGGGCCATGGCCTCCCCCACTGTCTACGGCCCGTTTGTCCGCCTGTCACTACTGGCGCACCCGCACGGACACATTCTCATCACCCCGCGTCCTGCGGCTTCCCGGGGGCTCGCTCTTGGTGTGTGTGTTCTCGGGGTTTGGACGCAGGCATGATGACATGAATGCATCATGACGGTAACGTTCAGGGCAGCTTCAGGGCCCTAAAGCCGCCCGAGCCGCCCGCTCACCCCCAGCTCTGTCCTCAGCCAGCTTCCTATAGGCAGGAGGGGCACGGCCCGCCGCAGCAAGAAGACTTCAGACTGAACAATAGTGCACCACCCCTGCACTGCAGGGACACGGGGAGAAGGTCCGTCCACACGGTCCCCGCTTAGCTCTCCCTCCAAAGGGCCGCCAACACTGCCTCCGCCTGCGAACGGAAGGCCCGGCAAGCTTTCAGGCCAGCTCAGCAGGCCGGCAGTCACACGGCAGACAGCGTCTTAGCACAGCCTGGAATCCCTGGCTCGGATGAGCCCCCAGAGCGCGGAGGCTCCCACGCCGGGCCCCCGGGCGGGGCGAGGCCGGCGCGGGTGACCTCTGCTCTCCCCCGCAGTCCTACGCCACCTGCGCCCTGGGGATCCAGTTCGTGGGCTACGTGATGATCTGCTTCGGGGCCGTCGACGCCCTGTGCTCCGTGCTCTTCGGGAGGCTGGCCCGGCACACCGGCAGGATTGCGCTCTTCGCGCTGGGTAGGCGGGTGCTGGGTGCGGCCCATCGGGCTGGGGGTTGGGGTGAGGACGGGGGTCGCTGGAGGCACAGAGAGTGGGCGGGCGGGGGTCAGGCGGGAGGCAGGGAGCCTCCCAGAAGGAGGAGATCTCGGTTCACGCACCGGATGCAGCTGGCTGTCTAAACACACAGACCCTTCTGCTTCAGGGGTCAGGCAAGAGGCAGGGAGCCTCCCAAAAGGAGGAGATCTCGGTTCACGCACCGGATGCAGCTGGCTGTCTAAACACGCAGACCCTTCTGCTTCCCCTGGGGGACCAGGGAGCAGCAGACGCAAGGTGACAGTGAGAAGTGAGGGTGTTCACGGAGACAGCTAGAGTCTTTTGATTTATATTGAGGAACAGAGATGCCTAGTAACTTGCCCAAGGTCACAGAGCCCTGGGAAACCCCGGAGGGTCCCAGGCTGCTCTGTCCCCCTGGTCAGGGGGCATCACAGGGTCTGCAGACTCACGAAGCCAAGACCTCGGCCGTGAGGACAAAGCCTGGAGGAGCGAGGAGGCCCTGCCCACAGCCCCTGCCTCCCTGTCCTGTTTCAAAGGCCCAGCTCCCAGGCTGGGTGGTCCTTTTCCCCTCCCCTCCCCACGCCCCCCACTCAGTGAGAAGCAGGGGTCCCACCAATCACCCTGAATGAAGAAGCCCAGTCTCTCCCACCCTGAGCCCCCAAAATCTGGGGCCTCCTCTGCCCAGCAAGATGACACTTTGCTCTAAGACGCAGAGGTGTGTCACCCCAAGGCCCCCCGCCCTTGCCCCCGTGGAGGCCACAGCTGGGCAGAGTCCCGCACCTGCAGGGGTGATCCCCAGCAGCCGCCATCCCGTACAGGTCACGTCAAAGGCACGGGAGAAAGCATGCGGCAGTAGTCTAGGGAGCAGGGGGTCGGAGGCTCGGCTGGCGGCTCCGAGGGTCTGAGAGGAGCCCCCGCCCCCCTGCCCCCAGGGGCCGTGACCCAGCTGGCCTGCATCGTCGCCCTCCTGCTGTGGAAGCCACACCCCAGCCAGCTGCCAGTGTTCTTCGTGTTCCCCGGCCTCTGGGGCATGGCCGACGCGGTCTGGCAGACACAGAACAATGGTGAGTGCCTGGCGCACGGCCGGCCTGCTCAGGGGCCCCAGTTTGGCCAGCCGTGGAGGGCACAGGGCCCCTGAAGGGAGATGGGGAGACGCGCGTCAGGGAGCAGGGGCCAGAGGGCGGGCCCCACTTCCTCCTGCGGACTTGGATGCACGATGCCCGGGATAAAAGGCAACCGAGTGCGCAGCTGTCCTTGCTAACGCGACCGTCCCGTCGTGGGTGCCCCCGGAAGAGCTCCTCTGGGCACAGCGATGTCCTGCCCGTGGTGTCTGGGCAGAAGGGCTTCTGCCTGCTGAGGCGGGGGTTTGGGGGGGGAGCCAAAGCTTACAGGTTACCATGGCAACGTCCCTCGGTGGGCGGGGAGAACTGAGCTAGGGGGTAGGAGGGGTCAGTCGCGGCCTCTGGGCAGAAGGGCTTCTGCCTGCTGAGGCNGAGGGGGGGGGGGCGGTGAGGCCGGGAGGGAGCAGGCTCCGTAACAGCACCCCACAGCCGGGGGTGGGGCTTGTAAACAGGAGAGTATCCTGCTCATTGTTCTGGGGGTGAGTGTCCAGGATGAAGGCAGGCAGATCCGGGGTCTGGAGGGCCCGCCTCCTGGCTCATAAACATCTCACTGAGTCTTCGGTGGATGCAGGGGGGGGTGGGCATCGGGCGTCCCCTTCACAAGGGCACTCTAACCCTGAGGGCTCCCCCCACAACCTCATCGCTCCCAGAGACCACCTCCCAACACTGTCCCCTGGGGGTTTCAGCCTCTGTGTTTAGGGGGAACTGTGAGGACAGGCTGGCTGCAGTGCTGAAAGGAAGGGCGGCGGCTGGCCCGATCAGGGGCCGACCTGCCTGGTGAAGGGGCCGGGTTCGCTCAGCGCCCGCGGAAGCAGCAGCAGGGGTTTACAGCTGGGGACGGGGTAGGGTGAGCTGCTGCCACAATGCAGGGGACGTGGGGATGTGCAGGGGTTTGCTGCGCAGAGGGACGTGGTGAGAAGGGGCTGAGCGGTGGAGCTGCTGGACGCAGGGAGGAAAGGAGGCCAAGACAGGCCAGGACCTGGCGGTCCCGGGGCCGGGCTGGACATCAGGACCCCCAGGGCTGGAGGCGGCCGGCAAGTCCACAGACAGCAGGGTTGGAGGTGTCCGCTGAAGGGCTTGGCTTGGGCTTGAACAGGACAGAGGACCCCGATCAGGGGGACCCAGCCCTGAAAGGGGTTGTCTTGGGCGTGTGTAGCGGTAATGTTATTAAGTCGCTCAATCATGTCCGACTCTTTGCGACCCCATGGACTGCAGCACACCAGGCCTCCCTGTCCCTCATCATNTTTGATGCAGAGTGAAGGGCTGTGAGGAGAGGAGAAGGGGCGTGGGGAGCAGAGGACAGCTGAGAGGCGAGGAGGGCGCCCAAGGAGGGCGTGTGGGGTCAGGGGGACTGAGGGGCACCCAGGCTGGGAGGGGAGGGGCCCCCTTTCTTTGGAAAATGTGGGAAGGCAGTTGGCATGAAGGACACGAAGACTACCACTCTGGGGAAAGGAGTTAAGTTCAGGCCTGAGAGTCCTGGCTTCCTGGAGGAGCCACAGCCAGGGACGCCCTAACGTTACAGAGGGCATTGGCTGTGGCCGGCAGGTGAATCCCATGAGGATTCGCTCATGAGGTAACCCAGCGGGTGGCATCACCCCCATGGCACCTCGCCCAGCAGCAGGGAGGCGCCTGCAGAGGTCCGGGCTGGAGCAGCGAGGGGCTCAGGGGGCAGGTCTCCCAGGACCCGTCGACAGCCCTGGCTGGGGGGGCGGGAGCGCTGAGGCCCCAGTAGGGGAGCCGTCTCTGCAGCCAACAAGCCACCCATGGGTGAGCCAGGGCCTCAGGGGCAGATCCGGCTCAGAAGGGAGCTTCTTCCCTTGGAAATGCCACCCACCATCCAGCCCTCATCAGGGAAGCACCTGGGACTGGAAAGTGGGTCATGCCCAGCCACAAACAAGCCAGCAGCCGCCGTTTCCAGGCACGGGGCCTGGCTGCGGTCCCTGCACCCAGGGACGTCACACACGGGGCCACAGCGTCCCAGGACAGCCCTCCTTAGCACCTGAGTCGTGGCCGGCCTGTGAAACAGCGGGGGAACATCCCCGAGCAAACCTGACGCCGTTGGAATCAAGGGGTTTGGGTTTCACAGTCTTTCTCCTGCCTCCATGATGCAGGAGGCACTCCTGGAGTTCTGGGACAGAGCGGTGCTCAGCTCAGCGCCACAGACTGCAGTGTTTGGAACAAAGGGCAGCTGGAGGAAGCGGTGACAGATTAGCCGCAGGTGGGGCTGTTGTTCAACAGAGGAAATGCCTGAGTCAGCCGAGGAGATAAACAGCAACCACGCTTGCTTTTCTCGGCCGGGCGTCTGGACTATAAGCCAGTGAGAGATCCCCACAGCCCCGGCAGGACTCTTAGGCGCTTCAGCCAGCGATCGTCCAGAGAGAGCGTCTCCACGTCCCCATGGAGGGGCGAGGGACCCCCCACTGTTTACACCCCAGTGCTTCTGCCGACTTGCTCTCTGATTAACTGACTTCTCTGGGCTCAGGGAGTTTTTTGCAGTGTTTACACTTAGAAGTCAGGTCAGGGCCTGGAAAGCACAGCCGTGCACGGCGCACAGCAGTCCCCAGGGGTTCGGAAGGCTCGCGGTAAACCTGCTTGGTTTTCTCTCTCCCTGAGACATGGGCGTACTTGTTCCAAGTCTCCCTTCCTTTCCACGGACACGAGAGACCGTCAGGCTGAGCCTTTGTCAGGTTGAGCAGCTACATGAAGTCCGGTGAAAGACTTGGGTAAAGCCCTCTTGAATAAGAATACCAATTTAAAATGAACTATTTCTGTCTTTTTGTTCAACTTAGAAGTAAGGGGTTTTTTTGAGTAAAAATCAGTTCTTGGAGGGAAACTGTTCTTTCCGTCTCTGATTTATGACCTTCTTAACCATCCTGACCAGGAGGGCTATGTTAATAACGAGCTCCCTGCGGACTGGCTCCACCTCCCTGCAGTGTGGTCCATCCACACTTTCTCTGTGTTTTCAAAAAACGCATGTTTTGTGTAGCTTTTGCCACCTACCAAGACCAGCTCTCTCACTTCTGCTGTTTCAGTAGCAAGTTGGATTTCTAATCTATTCTCCCTGAATGTGTCTGTTAAGAAAAGACATGAGTCACGTACATTCCTAGTTAATGAGACGGAATACAATTGCGCACAAGGTAACCCCCTTTGCAGTCACCACTTCTCAACGGAAAAGCTGATTGCTACAACGGGGCGGGACCATCCCAGCCCCCCCTTCCTGGGGCAGAATCCTGCCTCTCCCTGCTCCGGGTCCCCACTGGGCTCCGGGGAGCCCTCCGGCCTGTGGAGCCGCTCATCTCGGCTGCTCTCTGCTTATCCACCCTGACAGAACTGTTGCCAAGGCAACACCTGCACACCAATGCCTGAACCTGAGACGACGCGGAAAGTCTGGCCTTGAAATACCCTTTTGCCTCATCAGCCACCGAAGGGGCTGTCTTCAGGCTGATAAATTCAGAAAATCTGTCCTCTCTCACACGCCCGGTTCACGAATCCTGACGTTTCCAACAAACAAGACTTGTCCTCATCCCGGCCTCTGAGCACAGAGTCCACATCTGGTCACTTTCACCTGGTGTCTTGGCCAGGTCAGGCGGCGAGCAGGCTTTTCTTCTTTCTGTTTTATAATAATCCTAGACCGACGGAAAAGTTGCCCGTAGAGTGCAGAATTCCCACATACTCTCCATTCTGTTTCCTTAATGCGAACATCTTACAAACCTGTGGTACACTTGTCGAAACCGAGGGACTAACACTGAGAAATAACAGAACTTCAGATTTTATTCCATTTTCCCAGCTTTCCCCCCCTTTCTCTGTGTGCTCCGAGACCCCAGGCAGGCAGCCACGTTACATGCAGCCACCGCGTCTGCTTTTTGGTCTGTGCCAGCCTCTCTGCTCAGCTTTGATGCCCGTGGCCCTTTTGGAGAATATGGGTCAGGGGTTGTGTAGACTGCCCCTTAACTCAGCCTCGTCTGATGTCTTCTCATCACTGGGCTGGTTTCAGGGAGGAAGACCCCAGCGTGCAGGGCCTTTCTCGTTGTGTTGAGCGGGGAGACAGCACACGGCTGGCCCACCCGTGGACCCTGCAGAGGGGGCCCCTCACCCTCATCTACTCAGGTCTCGTCTCCCAGCCTTGCTTTCCTGACCTGTGAGGTACGGAGCGGGTCACGGCCCCTCCGGAGGTCACCCTCATCCATTCTCTTTCTAGTCTCCACGATGGTGCTTCTCTGCGAGAGGCCCGCTCACCGGACTGGTTACCGTCCACACCGTGAAACCCTTCTGATTTCCAGACAGGAAGGTCCTGGGGTGGGTACCTGGGCCTCGGGGAAGCGGCAGCGTTCTCTGCCGGAATCACAGCCGCGTTTCCGCCCCTGCCTGCAGCTCTCTTCGGGGTTCTGTTTGAGAAGAACAAGGAGGCCGCCTTCGCCAACTACCGCCTCTGGGAAGCCCTGGGCTTCGTCGTCGCCTTCGGATACAGCACGTTTCTGTGCGTCAGCGTCAAGCTGTACGTCCTCCTGGGCGTCCTGGGCGCCGCCATGGCCGCCTACGGGGCCGTCGAGTACCTGGAGTCCCGGAAGGCGGTCGGGCCGCTGGCCGCAGCGCGGACAAAACCCGCCGAGGAGGGGGTGACACAGACGAAGCTGTGAAGCCACAAGCCCCGCGGTGAGTGGACCCGGGGCGGCCCCAGAGCAGGCGAGCGTTACCCGAAGACGCCTCGGGGTCTGCGGTCGATTCTTTACGACCGCTTCAACGCGGTTTCACTTTTACGTGACGTTTTTTCTATTTTATCAGAGTCTTCAGTCCACCATCTCATCAGTGGAGATGCAGAGTGTAGGTGGAGGAATCAGTTCATTTCAGATACAAAAGAGTTATAAACTCAGGATACCACCAGCCACCAGGGACTTGCCTAGAGTCACGGGTCAATAGCCTAGGCTTGTTTGGGGGTTGTTGTTAAGAACTCGAAAGTCGCTGAAAAGATGCAGCCCAATGCCAGCACTTTGCAGATGGGCAAACTGACGCCCCGGCAAGTCAGGGACTGCCTCCCAGAGTCAGTGAGGGACAAAGCCAGACGAGGCTCTCTGTGTCTTGAAGCTTATAGGGTAAGAGTTTCTAAATAAACGCAGGTATTTTATGGACCTGACTCTTGTCCAAATACTTCACGCCACCCCCCTGGATCACACACACAAACGTCATCACATTGGCTTGTCGGAGGCCATTGATGACAACAGACGCAAGTTACTTCCAACGGGACTTGACACATGGGGCTGATAACACATGAACCCAGACGCGGGCCCACCTGTCTCCTGGCCTCTGCCTGCCTCTCCGGCAGGTACGTCCATCCTGCTCCTTCCTCCTCGTCTGACGCCCGGTAATGCAGGCACGGCCATTCTCTGAGCCCAGCTGTCTTTTGGAGACACCCCACCCTGGAACCTCTCAGACAGGGCTCCCCGTGTCTCCTCTTTTCTCCTTTCAGCCCAGCTTGCCTCCTCCCCCACCTCGGTCCCTGCTCTTCTCCAGGCTTCTCTCCACGCATCCCGTGGCCATGTGCCTGCCTGCCCTCCTCCAGCCCTGAAGCAAACCTGTCTGGCAGGCCCTGTGACCCTCCCGAGGCCGAGTTTCCGAGGTGTGTCCTGCAGCCGAGCCCAGGGCCTTCCACCTTCCAGGGGGCCGCCCGGCCCCTCTCCAAGGCACTGTGGCCTCTAGAGCTTTGCTCACGGGCCTCGTCGACCTTGAGCACCTTCCTGCCCTCAACACAGACCCCTCAGGCTTGTCTGGGCTGTGCCCGTGGCCACGGGACGCACACTTCCTGACGCTGGCTTTTGTGTGCGCCCCCTGCTCAGCACTGTGGCTGGCAGTGCTTGGTCCTCCTGGGCCTGGGTGCTGGAGCTGGGGACACTCTGCCCGCAGAGACCCAGTGGACTCGCAGAAACGCACAAACGTGGGCAGAGGGGCCCGGCCGGGAACATCAGACCACAGCCGCCCCTTCTCCCGACTCCAGGATGAGAAGCCACGGGAGGGCCCTGCGTCTCCGGAGGTCCGGAGTCGGAGGCCAAGGCACCCCGGGCTCTGGCGGAAGGCTGAGCTCCTTGCTCTGTTTGCGGCTGTTGCTGCTCGAGGGAAAGTGTGCAGGAGCCCCAGGCCCTCGGGCGACGGGAGGGCTTCGGGTCCAGGGGGTGCGGGCCCGGGCTGGCAGCCATCTGAAGAGGGGCCGCTGCAGGCCCCCACTGGACCGCACGCTCCTGCCTGCTGGCCGGCTGCTCCTGCAAGGTGGCCTGTGGCACTCAGGCCTTTCTTTCCTGCTCATCCTCTGAGCTTGGCCTGCGCCCTTCAACCTGGGTGTATGTTCGGGTACCCTGATGCAGGCACAGAGACAGACAGGGCTCTTGCTTCCTCCTGGGCCCCAGGCTGGGGCGGGGGGTGAGCGGGGGTGCCGGGGTCACACCAGTGTTGCTCTGGGAAGGCTGAATTGTAGCAGAAAGCAAGGGACTTAATCTTGAGCATAGTACTCTATTAGCAAAGTGGAAATGTTCCTCCTTCATAAGGAATCATTGAGACAAGATGTTATTCAAAGGGAAAAAGCAGAGGAGAGATAAATTAGGAGTTTGAGAATAACATATTCACCCTGTTACATATAAAGTAGAACAACAAGGACCTACTGTATAGCACAGGGAAATATACTCAATATTTTAAAATAACCTATAAAGGAAAGAATCTGAAAAAGAAAAAATATATATATATAATGCTTAGAACTTTTTTTAAAAAACACTGGATTATAAAACACTATAAAGCACTGTATGGACTTCTCAGGTGGCTCAGCCGTAAAGAACCCGCCTGCCAACGCAGGAGATGCAGGAGGTACTGGTTCAGTCCCTGGGTCGGAAAGATCCCCTGGAGGAGGGCAGGGCAACCCACTCCAGTATCCTAGCCTGGAGAATCCCATGGACAGAGGAGCCTGGCGGGCTACCATCCACGGGTCACAAAGAGGGGACACAAAGTGAGCAACTGAGCACACACACCAAGCACTGTACACAGTGAAATAAGAGTGTACTCCTCAGACTAAGGTTAAATGCAGTGGTTTCGTCCACCTCTAAACCCCAGTGCGGCTATTATGAGCCTCGATTAGACTGGATCCAACAATTGTTAAGTCTCTTATCCACCTCCCAGGGCTCAGGAACAAAGGCACAATTTTACTACTTGCTCAGAGTTACTCACTAGGAAAAGATTTTCAAAAATTAAATGTACGAATGTAATGTCACAATGTATGGTTAAACATTTCCTAAAAATTAAATATGTATCTGAAATAAAATGCTAAGTGTAGAAATGAAGTTACAAGCACATAATAATAAAGAGAAAGTGTGTGCGGCAATAATCCAGGCTCATGGGTGCGGGAGTCACCATCATCACCTAAAACAAGTGCTGAGTTTACTGGCCGCCCAGGTAAGAAGAGAGAACACACAACCTAGCGGTCACTATTTGATGGAAGGGGCTTGCCGGTCTTTAGAGAACAGTTCTCTAGGTGGCATGTAAACGAGCACCCGCGTGGGTCACAGGTGAGAAACACAGGTGAGCCCGCGGACACTGCCCCCGACCGACGGCCAGGTGTTCTCTGCTGGTCGTGGCGACAGTGCGCACTCAGGGATCCCGCCGGACGGGCTTTCTGTGGATGGGCTTTCTGTGGACGGGCTTTCTGTGGACGGGCCAGGGGCCCCAGGAAGCCAGGAGGGCGGCCTTCAGTGAGAACGGCCCGTCACTTCACACCCCACCCTCCAGGAGCCTGGGAACTTCTACTCCAGTCGAAGCGTTGGGCCTCGGGAGACCCTCACCCTCACCCTCACCCTAGCCAGGTTTATGTAGTCAGTGAGTGAGGCGCGTTTCCCAGTTTACGAGTCAGAGAGGATGACAAAATAAACCACGTGGAATGAGAGGGTTAAAAAGGACTCACGGGTTTGGCAGTCTCTTGTAGTTTCACATCCAAATCAGAAACGGAGATTTTTTTTTTCCCCCTCCTGAGCCCCCTTCCAGGCCCAGGTCACGCTTCTCCACGTCTCTGAGCTCCCCCCCAACCAGCCTCCTCCAAAAAGGCTCTCAGAACCCCCCTCCCCAGTCACACAACCCTTTCCAGGCCTCCCCCCGTCCCATAATCTGAGTTCATCTCCCATCTCCCTGCTCCTTTAATCGCCTCCCTTCCAGCTCCTGGGCCCAGGCTTCCTGGTTTTCTTTTTCAAATACTGGACTAAAAGTCTGACACATTCATCTACCTGCAAAGTCTGTCTCCATGGCTTCCTCTCAGCTCACGGGCAGGTCTCTGTCCATCCATCTGCGGGGAGGCGACGTTTGCAGACGGAACAGGCAGGACACGTTCACGGGAGGTGCTGTGTCCACCGCCTCCAGACGCCTGGCCAAGCATCGGGGGGACCCCGCTGTTGGGGGAGAGCCTTGTGGGCCGCAGGGCAGCCCCTCATCCCGGGGACACGGTGGGCCCTCCACAGGGCTTTCACCACTGCCGCGCTGAGTCCGTGACCAGTTACGAGGCTTCCTCATCCCGTCCTTATGGCTGGGGGGGAGCACTGGGTTTATCTCTCCTGACCTCTGACCCAGGGGCTCAGCCTGGAGTGGAGCCTGGGCATCCTCATTTTGGAAAGCTCCCCAGTGTTGGACCGTGTGGCTGGCGGGAGTCGAGCACGGGTTTTAAAGTCATGTCATATCTCTGCTCTTGCAGCAGCTCGCTCACTTAGCTGGCTAACAGCATATAAAGTACATTTCTGAAAAAGAATTTCTGGGAGTAAGCATCACTGATTGACGTTGTCATTGCAGTTCATGACAAGTGACATCGTGGAATCCCAGTGCCCCCTGGACGCCATGAAAGAACAGGATAACAGTAGCAGCTCCACTGACGTTTAGCCAAACATCTGAGTGAGGTGCCCGTCACCATCAGCACCGCTCGGCCCAGAGGTCCCGGGGGAGACGCCTCGGCCTTCGCTGTCCTCGTGTTTCCTGGTGGCGGCTCTGCCAAGCCTTCCGCGGGTCCACTGACCCTTTCCCTGCCCCGGACTCGCCCCCACCCCTCAGCCTCCAGCACCCCCTCCAGGGCCCTGGCCTCCCCTGCAGTCCTCTGCCCCCCAACGCCTGCAGACAGCACTTATGACCCCCCAGGACTCTGGGCCCAGCTCCCGGCAGTCACTCATCCGCCCCTGGACAGGGCTTTGTCTCCAGCATCATCTCCCATGGGGAGTACCCCCCCACCCGCCACGCACCTGCCGGCTGCCCCGGCCTAACCCACACCCACTGCCGACTCCGTCAGGCACCGGCCCCGTTGGCCTCGCTTCTGGGAAGTCTTCCAGCCCCACACTGTCTGTGGCCCCTGGTGGCTCCTGACCCAATGACCATCCTTCAAGAGTCAGACTCACACGCTGCCTCCTCTACTCACGACCGGCCAGCGCTGACCATTTTTTTTTCAACACCTTAGTCGGGCCTGCTGGACCGTCAGTGAGTCAGTCCTGACTCATCCTTGCCCCCACCCCTTCTCTCTCCAAATTACAATATAAGTTCCCCCAGTATGACATAAACTTATAAATATATTGCATATAAATATCATAATCTCCACACCTCAGCGGTGATAGCTGGCTTTATCAAAATTCCTTTCCTCCCCCTGTGCTCAAAATTCACCTCAGATGCCTTTTCTCAGGCGCACACTTTGAAAACTGCCTTGCTCCTCGCAGGCAGAGACCCTTCCCCAGAGGGTTCAGCGCTTCCTCCCACGCCGGCGCTTGAACCGCCTCGGGTTGCACCCGTGTGTGTGATGGGGGCAGATTCCGCAGCGGGAGGAGCCTGGGTCTGTGGCAGCGGTGGGCAGCCCGCCTGTTCCCCTCTGTCCCGCGGGGGCCCAGCGCCCCGGGCCCGGGAGGCGGGCAGGAGGGAGGCGCCCGCCTGCCCAGCGCCCCGGGCCCGGGAGGCGGGCAGGAGGGAAGAGGAGTGTAGGTGGCGGGGCGTCCAGCCCCACCCAGAAGTTCTCTCCAGAGAGAAGAGGCCACAGCTCCAGCGTGGCCTCGGGGACAAGGGTCATTGTGTCACCAAAATTGGTGACAGCAGCTCGCGGGTCATAAGTCAGAAAACAGGCGAGGTTGGTGAAAAGGAAAGTTT